TAATTACTTGTAAACAATGTTCCCTCTTGTGAGCAAAAATTCTGCTTTGTGAGCTACTGGCATAAAAGTTGTGAGCAAGCGATTTGGCTACTGCATAAATCAGTTTGCTCTGGAGCCATCCTCCCTGAGCTGAGACAAAAATCTGTGAGCCAGAGGCAAAAAAACTGTGAGCTAACTGACGCTAACTCAGCTTAGAGGAAACACTGCTTGTAAATATTTTGAACACCAGAACAACATCTCCAACTACAAAAGAAGAAATAAAGACTTTCATTTGCCCATAGCAAATTTCTAGTGTTCATATAAATCTCATGGAATCAGCATTTCTTTGTGTGTAAACTAGGTGATCGTTCAGGTGAGAATGGAGTTTTCTCAGTTCTCCTTTTCTTACTAGTACTTGTGTGTTAAGTGCCATCAACCGTACACCTAGTTCTCTCTATTTCGAAAGCTGCTTGTTGCCTTCTCCAGTGGCTCTCCTTTCACAAGGCAGCACACCTGATGGAGAATTTGCTGTCTTACCGTCTCCACTTCAGGAGGATGCTATTAGCGGCCCATTTAGATGATACCTAAATTGTGCCTGGGTCACTGGATTGGTTTCAAAAGGCAATAGAGTGTCCCCACGACTAATCAGGATCTCTCATGACTTTTCAGGCCCTGTTAGAGGTATTGATTTTCACAAGCAGCAGCCACTCTTTGTGTCTGGAGGAGATGACTACAAAATTAAGGTAATGAGGGGGTATCCTCACCTCTGAAGCAGCGGCGTATTTGTGGCAGAATGAAGGGGAATGGAAGTAGATGTCTGAGAGGGGGGTGGGAAAAGAAGAAGAGTTGGTTTTTATGCCCCACTGTTCACTACCAGAAGGAGTCTGAGAGAACTGTGACTGACCCAAGGCCACCCAGCTATCTTCATGTGGAGGAGTGGGGTAATCAAAGCTGGTTCTCCAGATTAAAGTCCATTGCTCTTAACCACTACACTCCTGGCTCTCTATGTAATTCTTATTGAGATGGGATTAACAGATTAAAAGACTACTACTGGTTTAGACAGGTTTAAATGAGATTTAGCTCTATGAACGGCTGTTCATTGTGGTCACTAAGTGGAGTCTCCATGTTTAGAGGCTGTGTTACCTGTCAATACCAGTTGCTTGGAAGCAAACAGCTGGGGAGAGCTGGTGACTAATCAGTGCCCTGTTTCTGAGCTTTGAGAAACATCTGGCTGATTTACTGTGGGGAACAGGGTACTAGGCTAAATGGTTGCTTGTCCTTGTCTAGTAGGGTGGATCTTATATTCCTTTATGCAAAGAATTCAGCACCCACTTGGGGGATGGGGAGGACAGGCATGTTGCTGGAGTCTGATGGGTAGAAGAAGGGCTATTCTAAGTCAGTGTACAACTGCAGAATGCAGGTAGCTTCAAATGGTCATCCTGAATGGGATGAGAGCAGCTTGCCCCCATGGCATCTGTTTTGCCCTTCTTCAGGTCTGGAATTACAAGCTGCGTCGTTGTCTCTTCACTCTGTTGGGGCACCTGGATTACATCCGCACCACCTTCTTCCACCACGTGAGTCCTGCAGAACTTTGGGATGGATTATTTGTTCCTGTTTTGGTTGAAAGGGGTTTCAGGGTGGATTGTGTTTCAGACTTAGCTTTTGTAGCTGTGGAGTCAGTTTGACCTGAGCATCAGAAAGCATAAGGAAGGGCTTCAAAAGCTGCTCTGCAAAGTATTTCTGCTCTCTGGTTATACCAAAACCACATGTAGCCGTAGAATGTATTATGTGGGGGAAAATGCGCAAAAAAGAATATATGTTTGTTCTGTTTTTTGTTGGTAGGAATATCCTTGGATCTTGAGTGCATCTGATGATCAGACCATTCGGGTTTGGAACTGGCAGTCGAGAACTTGTGTTTGGTAACACAAAATTTCCTCTCTTGGATCTTCAGCTTTGTTTTCTTTTGCGATTCCCAAATGTTGTTCCTTAAACAGCCCCCCCAAGGCTCTGTTTGTCTGTAGGTAAAGTCAAGCCACTTGTAATAATAGCATGGTTTTTATGGGTCTGGATTGCTTCAGATAAATATCTCAAAAATGCAGCAGTCTTTTAAAGTTGAATAGTTGGAGTGTAGGCTGGAGTTATTCTGCATTAAGGTGCTACTGTACTCTTACTCTTTTCTGGATTACAGTGGTACATAGCTACATGTTTTATGAAGAGAGTGGCTATCTACTGGTATATGAAAACAGGTCAACTAAGCAAAGTCAAGGCATGTAATTCAATTGTAAAAGACATATACGTGGCCTAATATTGCAGTCTGTTCTTTTGATAATAACTAGGTCTGGTTACAGTTTCTGTAATGTCACATTCTTGATAAATACTTCAGATGTTCATTATAATTGTTATGAACATTGGGTTGGATCCAGGCTAAATTTTGTTCTCGTAGAAGGACACCCCCCAGCAGACACCATGGCCCTGCTTATCCAGTGGGGTGCAGGAGGTACCTTGATCACACAGGCTGTTTAAAGCCCTTTAATACTTTTGAGTACTTGAATACAGCATTCGTATGTAAACATACTAAGAAGAAAAATAAACACCTCTCAGAATAGCATGGCAAGAGTGTACATGTATGGGAGGGGGAGTACTTTCTTAAAAAGCTAATAGAGACTATCCAGGAAGATGCACTTCAGAAATTGTGAAAAATCACTCCTTTGGTTGAGGAGTGCATTTGGAATTCCCATTAGATCATGCTGAGCTTTTAAAAATTTGAGAGGCTCTAGCCCCATCATGGGGGGGGGGGGTCAAGAGGGACAACTGGGAAAAGAGGACCTCTGAAATCACAACAGGTTCAGTGTGTGAAGAATGCTGATGTGTAAGTAATAAAGAAACCATGGGGAGAATGTGTGTGTGTGTGTGTGTGTCGACTGGGAGTTGTTTGGATACAATCTCAATAGAGTAGAGAAGATGAAACAAATCAGAACAGTCTCAAAACCTGTCTCTTTTGTGTGTGTATGTGCGTATGCCTGGAAGTCATGGTGACTTCTGGTGACCCCTAGTGGGGCTAGGACCAGTGTTCCCTCTAAGCTGAGTTAGTGTGAGCCAGCTCACAGTTTTTTAGCCTCCAGCTCACAGTTTTTTGTCTTAGCTCAGGAAGGGATGGCTCCAGAGTAGGCTAATTTATGCAGGAGGCCAATCGCTCGCTCACAGCTTTAATTCCAGTTGCTCACAAAGTAGAATTTCTGCTCACAAGATTCCACAGCTTAGAGGGAACATTGACTAGGACATTTCAGAGGGGTGGCTTCCTGTTGCCTGCCTCTGCATCCCGGCCCTGGTATTCCCTGGAGCTCCCCCTTCCAAGTACTTGCCAGGGTCGGCCCTGCTTAGCTTCTGAGATCTGACGAGATCGGGCTTGCCTGGGCTATCCAGGTCAGGGCAAAACCTATCTTTTAAAAACTATTTTATAAACTGTGCACTACCCTACCACCGTTCGGTCGGAACACCTTGTTTTCACATGTCACAGCCCCTTCCATTCCTTGGAAAGATGATTCCGAGGGCCACTGGGCCATTTGGGGAGAAAGCCATGCAGGTTGGTAGGGCGGGTGTGAGGAGGACATGAAATCATTGCTCCTTCCTCTTCCACAAGCCCAGCTATGCTAAGGAAAGGGATGGATTTCTTCCCCTTAATCCTTCCTCGCTCCAGCCCACCGACCCACACAGCTTTTTCTCTGCATGGGTCCCTCAAGTCCAGGAATGATTGTTCCAGGGATCAGAAAGAGCTGCAGGAAAGGAGAGGAATGTGGAAAATCTCCATGTGCATTCCACAGAGGAGTGGTAGGCTACCCGCTCACTGATTTTAATCTTCTCCTGTTTTGGTATGTGTGTGTCATTCTTATATATAGCTGTAAGAGTGAAAGAATTAGACTTAATTCATGTTATTAGATTAGTCCTCTCTTGTATTTAGTGTTCAGTCTTCAGGTTGCATCTTAAACATGTTGGGTGTCCTCTTCGCTGGACAGCAGCTTGGAGGTAACCTTTCTCGGCCATCTGCTCTCGACCCCTCTGCAGATGTTTAACGTCTTGCCAGATTCTCCATTGCTGTCCCAAAAGATAACTGTTTGTCTGCGAATACCTGAGAGAGAACTCAGCGATGCTTTCTTCTTTCCTTCTAGCGTGCTGACGGGACACAACCATTACGTCATGTGCGCCCAGTTCCATCCTTCCGAAGACCTGGTGGTATCAGCCAGCTTGGATCAGACAGTGCGCGTTTGGGATATTTCTGGTGAGCTGCCCAGGTCAAGGGTGTGTGTGGGGGGGTGTCCAGCAGAGATGCCCAGCTGGAAACTGCAATCGTTGAAAGCAGAACAGGGAGTTAAGGAGGCTGGAGAACTGCTGTTGGCTGTGTTTGCTGGACAAGGCAGAATAATAGGAGGGGAAGAGCCAAAAGGCTTGTTTAATGGGTGATGCTCGAGGACATCAGAAAAGAAGACGTAGTTGTGCTAGATGGGGGGAAAGATGTAGGGGGTTTTACCACTGTGGCCTCTTTGTGCTTGAGGGTGGATAGGGCTGTGAACTCTGAATCGGGAAATCCCTGGAGATTTGGGAGTCAAACCTGGGTAGGCAGCTCATCATGGTATAAGGCCATAGTCCACCCTCCAAAGCAGCCATTTTCTGTGAACCGATCTCTGTAGTCTGGAGATCAGCTGTGATTCCAGGAGGTCTCCAGGCCTCACCTGGAGGCTGGCAACTGGTGGGTTTCCACCTGCCAGCTGATTTCTGATGGGTTATTGGAGAACCCCCAGTGCAAACGTAGTAGCACTCTGCATTCTCATATCGCTTTCAGTGTTGAGAAGCGCTGCAGATGCTTTACTTCCAACAGCCTTGAGAGGTTGGTCATAGAATGATAGAGTTGGAAGGGATCTCCATGTCCATCTGGTCAAACCCCTTGCACAGTGCAGGAAATTCACAAGTCATTATCAGTTATTGTCTCCGTATGAAAGATAAAAACGTGAGAGTGAGTTGCCTCAGGTGACCTAGCAAGTTGGAAGAAAATAAGAGATTTGAACTGGGGCATTCTGAATCACAGCTAATATTCTCACTTGCTGTGTTGTGCCGGTTGATGTAAATGTGCTGCCAGAAAAAGACTATAATATGAAAGGAAGTGCAGCAACAGAGAGACCCACAAGGAAGGAAGCCTTTGAAGCCTGTAATGTATCTAGAGCTTGGGAGGGTGTTGTCTCCTTTTGTCCCATGTTCAGAGAATCTTTTTTTGATCACCGCTCACATCCAAGACCCTTAAGACTGGGTTTGTGATGAGGGTGGTGATGGTTTGGTTCTTGGTTAGAGAAGGGAATTCGCTGGATGCAGAGGAGAGGAGCCAGAACTCCCAGGTTTCCTCGGAGAAGGGAGCGTGTTCCAGCTAAGGTGCCAGCTCTGAAGCGTGGCCTCAAAGGATGCCCTCTCCTTTTGCAAGAGTCATCCCTTGGTGGTGGGCACAGATTCACAGTGGAAGCAAAATTGTAAAATGAGGCAGAATCCTCTGGGCTAGGGCTAATAGGAGAGGCTCTGGTTGTGAGAGAGGAAAGGAAGGAAGCAGGAGCTGGGGTGGTGGTGGTGGTGTGGCTTGTCTTTTAATGACTTCAGCCAGTTGTACGTTGTTGCTTTCTCCATTGCAGTTTTCAGCCGGGTGGGGCTGTTGGAATTTCACGGCACGCATTCAGATATGACCAGCTGTATCCGTGGGGAGGGGACGGGAGGGAGACTTCTGCTCCTTGGCAACTAATGGGGGAGCTTTGTCATCTCTTCTACTAGCATCCTTGCTGCTCCATTTACACACGCTCTCTCTCTTGGCAGAATCCCAGCACTCAAGTTTGTCTTGGCTGGAGAGGCTGAGCTGTTTGCCACTGGTGTCACAGCCCTGCCCACCCCATGTTTTAGTTGGGGACCAAACTCCAGGTTTTCCTTACAACGGCCCTGTAAGCTCAGTTGGGATTGGTCCCATAAGGGAGATAGGTTGATAGTGGTTGGCTACACGGCACCAGCCAGCCCTCAGTCGTTCCTTTGGCCACTTAATTCCTAAAACAACGGGGTCATCTTGGGTTCATAGTGGCTTTCTGCCTCATCCTGAGCTCCCCAGCACTAGTATTATGGGATCCCCATAATGACCCAATGACCCACCGGAACAGTCAACCACGCAGAGTCGACCCTATCCTGTCGCTGCCCAGCTGGCCATTTCGAGGGCCCCGGGCTACAATGTCCCGCCTTGTTTCTGCCATGCCAGAGAGCGAATGGAGCCAGTTTGGGTCTGGTTGCTGGATTAAAACGCATGGAAAGCTGCGTCGTAACTGAGTGACTTTTTCTTTGCTCGTGGTACTAACGGTGATGTCTCTGACGGTTTGCAAAATAACTCCCTTCTCTCCCCCCCCCCCCAATCTCCTAATGCACTGTTTAATCCAGGTGGGAAAGTGTAGCTGTTCACAGTACAGAAGGTGAGCGGGAGGAGTTAATTCTACTGGGAAATGGATCAGCTTCCTTTTAAACAGCTAGCTGATTTCTTAGCAAGGCATTATCCGTGTTTTGAGGTCTGAGGGCTGCTGAGGGTTCCAGGTGATAACAGGCTGGGAACGATGGGCGCTGGGGCGGGGTGGTGGTGGTCGCAAAAGCACTTGGAGGTATTCCAGAAACAGCCTGCCACTGGAAACACAGGGAGAGAGCGGGCACTCGAGATGCACTCTAATCAATGGGGCATGTCACACAGCAACTCCAGCAGGGCAGGGTGCTGTGCCTGCCTTCCAGACGCGGCACTCGTCTCGTTCGTTCTTGCCTGAGCTTCGCGGGGTCCTTTTTAACCCACCCTCCATGCCATTTAGTCGGGCAGTGCTTGTGCATGATGAGTCTGGCCTCTGCCTTCGGTTCTGGTCGGCACCTTAATTGTTCCCCTCTCACCCTCTCGCTCCCCTCGTCCCCACTCACTCCCACCAAAGCTGGCTCATTCTGTGAGTGTCCTCCTCCCCTCCTCTCTTGATCTGTGTAGCTGCTCCAGAAATTTCCCATCTGTCGTTCAGTCCCCCTCGCTGGCTCCTTAAAGCCCCGAGATGTTTCGGTTTGCCATGAACCAGACGTGCGTCTTGAACACACAAAGCTGCTGCTTTATACAGATGTTGGCCCGTCCCACTCGTTTTTTTCCTACTTGGACTGGCCATGACAAAGTATTGCTCCTTCTGCCATCAGGATGAGGTTTCTGTTTTTCATTCTCCCAAGTCTCAGCCCATTCTTAGCTGGCGGTTGAATATGCTGACGTTCCCATTTCTAAATATGTATATATTTCGTTTGTACACCACCTCTTGACCCGATGGAGACCTTCATTCTTTCCTCCATTTTATCCTACAACGACCCTGAGAGGTTGATTAGGCCAGGACTCCCCAAGATGGTGCCCAGGGGTGCCATGGCGCTCACCAGGTGTTTTTGTTTAAAAAGTGGGTAGGGCCAGGTGGGGCTTTTGCCCAGCAGGGCATTCTGATTGGCTGTGCAGATTCTAAGAAGTTGCTTCAGCAGCAGCTGCCGCCACAGCCCAAGAATCTTCCCTGTATGACTGAAAATGAGCCGTGTGTATGCAAGAAAATATTTTTAAACTGTTTGTTCATTTTAAAAGACATCCTGTCAAGCTGAGCTTCTGCCTGAAATGTTGAGTTATGGCTAGAGTTATGTATGCTCTCGCTCTGCATGGTTTTTGTGGTTAGCACCGGCTTTCGTGGGGACCATTTTGTGGTTGGCCCTGCCTCTAATGACAGCCAGTGCTAGGATTTCAACGGTGCCCGCAGGCTCAGGAGGGTTGGGGACCCTGGGGTAGGCTGAGTGTGTGTGACTGGCCCGAGGTCACCCAGCAGCCTTCCTTGGCAGAGTGGGGGTTCGAACCTGGGTTTCCCAGATCCTTTTCCTGGCACCCTCACCCCTAGGCCACGCTGCCCATCACTTTATTACCCAGGTTGGCTGACAGTTAGATCTAACAAGACTTAATTGTTTAAAACATTAAAAGGTTGTGAAATCAAGTGTAGCGATTTAACCGTAAAAATGAGATTGGCAAGGAAAAACAGCAGTAGAAAGATCAGCCAGGAAATTTGCAACAGAATAAAGGGTCAGTTCCTGTGGGTCCATTACACTAACGGTGCTTTCCCTGGTGCGAAGAGCCATCCCCTGATATAAGAGACTGAAGGATCCGATGATGTCTAGTTTTGGTCGGATGTCCTGAAAAGAAAAAGGGGGAGTGCGCCTCCTTGGGGGGGAGGGGAGCCAAAGTTGAGTTTCTGCATCCAAGAAGGCTGTGCTACCAGTTGCCACTGCCTAAGGCAGATACCCAAAAGACGGTCTCCAAAGATGATCTTGATGAGCAGGTGTGTTTGGACACAGACAGGAGAGTGTGAGCCTTCTGCTGCCCTGGGCCCTGTCTACTTACCTTAACTTGAGAACTCCTGTTAATGGCCAAATCCATATTTAAAATCTTAACACAGGCACAGACCCTCAGGCAGAATGGTTTGATCAGTTGGACAGTGGTTTAAAATGCAGCATAATACACGATGGTGTAATACACAATCAAAGACCTTCTGCATTGGGGTTTATGTCACTGTTGTCCACCTGGTTGCAAAAGACTTGATTGTCCTAGAGAATGCTGGTAATTCTAGAAATAACCCTTTGATTTTAGCAGAGGTTTGTGGGAAAATCTGCCTTCCATTCTGTTCCTCCTTTACCTGTTTGCTCTTGTTCATGAGTATACTCTACATTTATACAAGCAGCATTCCTGAAAGTTGCAGGGCTTCCTGATAACCTTGTGTTTGCTCCCTCTGTACTGTTCTCTTATTCTCACCTGGAAGGCCTGAGAAAGAAGAACCTCTCTCCTGGAGCTGTGGAGTCAGATGTCCGGGGGATCACGGGTGTAGACCTTTTTGGCACAACCGATGCAGTAGTGAAGCATGTCCTGGAGGTACCGTTGGGTTTGTGTACGGCTCCATGCATACCTGCTGTTGAAACCATCGTGTTGAGTTGTCTCATCTCAACAGCCATTGGGGGAGGGCCATTGCCATCCATTCCATAACCCAGTAAGGAGCCCCAATATGTACACCCAGTAGATACTGTCAGAGTTTCTTTATCAGAGATTGCTTTCAGTTTGGGACTCAAGCGACTGTGGATCGGTGAATCCTTGCCTGAACGTATGAAGCTTCTTTATGCCATCTCAGACAACTGCCTGGTCTGACTGGAAGCGAGAGAGGTCTTTCCAGTCACTACTACCTGGAGGGATTGAACCTCAGGGGTCCTTCTGCATGCCCCATGGCCCAAAGCCATGCCCCTGTTCCCTAAATTAATTCATTTATAGCCCACTGTTTTTGCTGAGACACAAGACAGATCACAAAATATAAAAATAACAACTCAGATAGCAAAAGACATCCACTAGCAAAATGCGGTAAGATTACAGAATTGGAAGACAGTTTTTTTTAAAGACCTATCTAAGACTTGATGTACCAATGTAGAAAGTGAATTACAAAAGTACAAGGCAATACAGCTACATGAAGACGATGTATACGATAATCATTGCAGTAGACTATAGCCCTATGCCCTTCAAAAGGCAACCTTTATACTACAGTTCTAATCTTTGTATAAAAACGCCCTCCTGAACATTTCTGTTTTGCACATTTCATGAAATGATAGGAGCCCCCATGACTTACTTGGGCAGGCCATTCGACAAGTTAACATATGAAACGGCCTTGCATTGTGTTAGATTCACAATCCGGTAGGTCAGTGTTTGCTAGTCAGATTGGCAGCAGCTCTCCAGAGTCTTGGATCCAGAAGAACCTTTGCCAGTCAATACCTCCTACCTGATACCCTTTAACTAGAGATGCCAGAGCTCAAAACTGTGGCTTCTGCATGCACAGCAGAATTTGCCAGAATCCACAGTCTTCCTTACATTGATTGCTTCCGAGCGGTAGCCATGGTCTGAGAATATCCCTTTCCTCCAGGGACACGATCGTGGAGTCAACTGGGCTGCTTTCCATCCCACCATGCCTCTCATAGTGTCGGGAGCTGACGATCGGCAGGTCAAGATCTGGAGGATGAATGGCAAGTTTACAGACTATGGCTCATCCACATGCCAATTAAGTGTTTGCTTTTTGACCTCAGTAGGAATGCTCAACTTGATAACCTGTTTTGGTTAGAGCGAGACAGTCCTTAAAAGCATGCAGATTGGTTGTGGTTGGGCACATGGTATACAAGGATATGTGATGTGGCCAACCGCTGCCATCGGTTTGGGGACCCAGCAGATGTTGCTGAACTCTTTGCTCCAGACTGGTTGCAGCTCTGAGCAGGGGCCAGCTCCCCAGTGTTGGGTGCCAGTGAAGCAAAGCCAAAAGAGGTGGTTGTCAACAATTAGGCAAGCTGCTAAGAGGTACAGACTCTTGTGGTGGTTGCAAAGGTGGTGTCTCTGGTTCCCAGGCACTCACAAGCGCTCCAGTTTACCTGAGAGCCCAGGAGCTCCAGTTTCATTTGTGTGGACAGCCCAATTCTCCGGCTGATGGGTACAGTTGCTCTCTCCTTGTATAAAGCTTAGGGAGTGTTTGGTTTCTCCTCCTTCTTCTCTGACCGTGCTTCCACCTATGAGGTGCACAACTTAATTACTTTCTTGCACTGCTATGGCAAGAACATGTTCTTTAAAAACACACACACCCGCCTTTAAAATGCCAGTAACAAAGCAAGGCGTCCCAATTTGTGATAGCAAGATCATGGCACTTGACTGTTCGTCCTCTGCTTGGCCCCAAGGCAAATTGAGGCTGCACCAGCCCTGCAGTTTGCATTTTATGGATGGAACCAGCGTGAACCATAAATGTTGCCAAGTCCCCCGCATCTTAAACACCGGTACTCATGGGGCAGAGACTGATGATGTTACATACTTTCACAAGTTGGCCCACTTAGTTCCAGTCAACACAATTCTGGTCCAGTTAACTCTTTGAGCTGTGAGTTAGGCTGTAGAACAAATTGCCAAAGGTTGTGCTGTCCTCTTGGGAGGCTTATGAGAAGAAACTGCATGAGTGTCTTGTCAGGTGGCCATGAAAACATAGGCATCGCCTTGATGCGTCAGACCAAGCCAGATGTGAAGGCAATGACCTTTCCCTGTTTGTGCAAAGCACCCGGTTGCTGCAGTACAAGGGGTTGGAAATGCCGCCAGGATATTGGGTAGAGGAACCCTGTCCCCTTAGGTGACCCTGACTCTCTGGCTAGCCTGGAGAAGGCTGAGGCCGTAAAAATTGTCTCGTTGTCTCTTGTAAATACATCAGTGGACCTGAGCTCCGAACAGCTGTAGCGTTCCTCCATTACTGACAGCCGCAGGGCAGGCCTGGTGACCCATTCCCAGTAAGGACCTCTTTTTTTTTTCCTGCTTGCCCAACCAGTAAGGACCTCTTGAGCACTGCATCCCAAGCTCCCTGGCATGGATGGGCCACTTACCTTGGCATTGCAGTCACAAAAGTCTCACGCAAGAGAGCAGTTCGTGATCGCTCATCTCTTCCTCCCTGTGTGTTTCTCCCCACCCACCCCCAGAATCGAAAGCTTGGGAAGTGGACACTTGCCGTGGGCACTACAACAACGTCTCCTGCGCCGTGTTCCATCCCCGTCAGGAGCTGATCCTCAGTAATTCCGAGGACAAGAGCATCCGTGTCTGGGATATGTCCAAACGGTAAATGTGGCGGGCTGGCGTTCCTGCTGCCTGCGTGTTTGGTTCTTCAAGAATGCTGAGGTATCCTGGCCTGCGTGGCCCCAAGGGTGGAGGAGCCAAATGTTTTAGGACTGTGCGGCAAAATACGTTCTTTTGATGGGGAGAAGGATTGTTGTGCAAAACTGGTTGGATAGGAAAAGGGCTAATTATGTATTTTCTAAATGGGTTTTTAGCAAAAAGGTTCTGCTGTTTGCGTGTTAAGGCATCTGTTTCTCACTTCCCACCTTAGCACGGGCGTCCAGACTTTCCGCAGGGACCACGATCGCTTTTGGGTGTTGGCAGCTCACCCCAACCTCAACCTCTTTGCTGCAGGTAAAGATCTCTTTGGATATCCAAGCTCTGTTCAGTTCACTGCATTTCTCTTACCTGTTAATAATTTCCCTTCCCATCTTCCAAGAAGCTCACAGCACATCATTTTACAGTGTGATCCTAGGCAGCTTTGTGCTGTCGATTGCAGTGGAGTAACTTTGTGTAGGATTGCGCTATTAGGTTCCCAGTAGGTTTGATTTCCCCCACTTTTTCAGCTTGCCGTGGTGTTTGAGGCTGTCCAAAAACCATCCAGTGCAGAGATGTAAACTGGCTTGCTCGCCATTTAATTTCTAGGTCCCCCCCCCCCATTTTTCCTTCCAGGAACAATTCTGACCTCTCAGAGCCAAGCAACCACCACCCAGACAGAAGAGATTAAAACAACCATGATTAAAGTCGCAGTAAAATAAGACTCTGAATATGGAGTTTACATTTGTCCTCTTAAGGTGAAAGTGGACGTGATGGTGGCAGGAACGTTTTTTGCTCCTGTGTCATCTTTATTTGTAGAGAGGGCCGAATTGTTCTCTCCTGCCTTACCTCTCTGCAGCCCTTCTCTCCGAGCATCCTTCTCCCAGCCTAGCTTGCTTCTGGTATCAGCCAGGCGGGAGGGGAAGTGCTCAGGTTACGGTCCCCTGCGAGGTAAGCCAAGGGAGGGCTTAGTGTCCTCCACCTGCAAAGCTCTCTATGTGTAAAAATTAGACCCTCATGAATAACATTGTGGTGGACGCTACTGTTTCTATGGGACTTTCAAGCCAAGAGACAAACTGAGGTGGTTTACCATCGCTTGCCTCCGTGTTGCAACCCTAGTATTCCTTGGTGATCTCCCGTTCAAGTACTAATCAAGGACAGCGACCGTGCTTAGCTGCCGAGATTCAGTAAGTCTGGGCCATCCAATTCAGGGCTTTTTAAAAATAATAGCAGTAGGGGCAAATTCCAGGTTTGAATTCACTGACATCTCTAAGTTCGTTGCAAGTCTCTGCCACAGCCCCAGATACTTTCTGAGCACTTCCAGTCTCCTTCCAGTGGGGCTGTGGCCCACGAAACCTGATGCCACAACAAATCTGTTGGTCTTTCAAGTGCCACGAGGTGGTTGATCCTTGCCCCGTCAGACCAGCACGGCCACCAGCCCTCTGAAATGTCTCTCCTTTTCTGCTTCCAGGACATGATGGTGGTATGATTGTGTTCAAGCTGGAACGTGAGCGGCCTGCCTACGCTGTGCATGGCAACATGCTCTACTACGTGAAGGACCGCTTCCTCCGCCAGCTGGACTTCAACAGCTCCAAAGATGTGGCCGTGATGCAGCTGAGGAGGTGGGGCGGGGGCGCTCTCTTCACCTTTGGGTTTTCGGCTCCCTGTTCTGCGCAGGTTTCTCATCTTGCTCCTGCTGCTCTTGGTTCCCGCAGGATTGCCGCCTACAGAGGAACCACAGGAGTTGGAAGGGAGGTTGCTGTCTTGCACAAAGCACATGTGCCCTCATGCGTGCACATGTACTCTCTGGCATTGCTGTGAGCTACACAAGGGTGTGTGGAAAGAGCCAGCTTTTCTTGGCATAGTGAACTGTTAGCATCATGTCCCAACTCTTTAAGACCTGAATGTGGATTCTTTTCTTTCGTACAAGTTTGGGTGATACCAGTGAGCCAACACTGCATCACGTTTAAAAGTGTTGGGTTTGGGCATGGAGAAATACCAGTTTCAAAAGCTTGCGCATTCACACATGATCACACAAAGCTGCCTGATGCAGACTCATGCCCTTGGTCTATCAAAGTCTGCTCACACTGGTAGCAGCTCTCCAGGGTCTCAAGCTGAGGTCTTTCACATCCCCTCCACCTGATTCTTTCAACTGGAGCTGCCAGGGATTGAGCCTGGGACCTTCTGCATGCAAAGCAGAAGCTCTGCCGCTGAGCTAAGGCCCCTCAGCTAATCCTGTACTATGAGCCAGTTCAGTGTAGTGGTTAAGAGCGGTGGACTGTAATCTGGAGGACCAGGTTTGACTCCCCCACTCCTCTCCCACTTGAAGCCAGCTGGGTCACCTTAGGTCAATTACAGTTCTCTCAGAGCTCTCTCAGCCCCACCTACCTCACAGGGTGTCTGTTGTGGGGAGAGGAAGGTAAGGAGATTGTTAGCTACTCTGAGACTCCTTCAGGTAAGGAAGGGCAGGGTAAAAATCCAATCTCCTCTCCTCCTCCCCCCCTTCCTTCCATCACCAAGTCGTTTGCCCTCTCCTACATAGTTTCTGCATTAATCTTTCCCGGAGCCAGAAATGGAGCCATGAGAAAATGAATTTATTTTAAAAATATTTAGACTCCGCTTTTCTTCCCAATGGGGACCCAAAGAGGCTTGCAACATCATTCTCCCCTTCTGCTTTTTATCCTCACAACAGCAATCCCGGTGAGGTAGGCTAAGCTGAGAAGGTGTGACTGGCCCGTGGTAACCCAGTGAGCTCCAGGGCAGAGTGAGGAGCCAAATCCACTGCTAGTCTGACTCTCCAAACACTCCACCACGCTGGCTTCTGTAGTGATATGCCTGTATTGTCAGAATCTGGCCTGGGTCATTGCTTTCCGGTATAGACGCAGTGGCCCTTGAGAGAGCAGCAGTCATGACTGACAAACTGAGCCCTGAATCAGGAAGTTGCTTATTTGAATCTTGCCTTTGCCTTGAGCTTGCTAGGTGGCTGCCTTTCTCAGCACTCCATTTACAATATGGTGATTATGGCAATGTGTGCAGTATGTCCAGGAGATCCTAAGATTGTCTGGCGGCTAGAAGTTCTAGCTCTTTTAGAGTTATGCACCACTAGGTGGCGAGCTAAGACTTGCTTTTAACGCAAGAGTCATTTCCGTATCAGCCTTCCTTAAAAAACAGTTCTAAAGATTTTAAGATCATGTACGTGAAGAGCCTTGAGTGCTCAGAGATACGATGAACTGTGAAGTGTTATGGTAAGGTAGAACCATACCTGGTAGACCTTATTCCCATGTTTCGGAGTCAGTCTGTGGCTCCTGCTACCTCACCCTCTGCCAGCCGTCAATAAAGGGACTCGGACAGTCCCAGTTCACTTTCCTCCCTGCTTTCTTTCCTTCTCAGTGGCTCCAAGTTCCCCGTGTTCAACATGTCGTACAACCCGGCTGAGAATGCCGTCCTCCTCTGCACTGTAAGTCAAAATCTTTCCTGGGGTGTGTAGCCTCAGTCTGGGGCTTTGTAGTGAATAGTGATATTTATAGTTCCATGTGATGCCTCTGGTTCTGCCAGGCAGTGGTGCTCAATGGTTTGAATCCCATGGACCCATTTCACTGGTGGTGGTGCTTTCTGTGATAAAAGGAGCCCTCCCCGGCACAGAGGTACTCTAGCAGAAGCTTCAATGGCAGAGGTAAAATAACATTTACCTCTCACACCCAGGTCTTCAGCCCTGCTCAGAACCAAGACCACTACCCATCTGACTGCCTCTATGACCAGATGTTTCATTGCACATTCATTAATGGTGTCTCAGGAATCTCATTTCTACAGCATGACTTGAGCACAGGCTTAGTTTGGCAGTAGTTGAAGTCACCCAGTATCACAACGTTATCTGCTTTAGTCCCCTCCTTTATATCCTTCTCCATCCTGAGAACAGCCTCAAGGGTTTGATCAGTTGGGCAGTAGCACCCCCTCTTTTCAAGTAACCCTTAGTGCCCAGTATCGCCAACCCATGTTGCTTCTGTTGGGGAATTTATTCCCCAAACGTTTTCTAATTCTGTGCCCCCTTTAGTATACAGAGCAATGCCTCCATGTCTTGTCTGTAGAGCTTATCCCCAGGGATGACTGTACCTCATTTTTCCATTCTACCATGTTTCTGAGACACCATTGTATTTAAGTTGCCATTTAGCATGTTTCTGAGAAGCCTACAAGCAGGGCACGAAGACGACAGCCCTCCGTCCGAATCTCGAGGTTCCATATGGATGCTGTATTCAACAGCTCTTGGTGGACAAACTCTTGGAGGAGGAGAGCTTTGTCCCCTTTTCAAACCAGTGGCCACCACCATGCCTACTAGCAGCAAATTCAGTACATTAATTATCCTCTGTGGGAAGAAGGACTTCTTGTTGTCTGTACTGGTTCTGAATGAATAATCTGCCGTTGACTTGCAACCAATAGATGGATTCCATCTATGGGGTGTTCAAGGCAAGAGGCGGTTTGCCATTGCATTCCTCTGCATAGCAACCCCAGTCTTCCATGGTGCTCCCCCATCCGACTACTGACTGTGGCCAGCCCCATTTAGCTGCCAAGCTCTGATCAACTCAAGCTAAGCTGGGCTTTTGGGGCTGTATCCCAGCTAGTCCTGCTGCCAGTCTGTTTTATTGGATAACCTAAGTTCTAGTAGTAGGAAAATGTCCTTGTATTCCCTTTCTCCCTGTGATGCCTATTTTTAGGAACTTGTGCTTACTTTAGAAACCTGTCTAGCTGCCTCCCCACATGTGTACACGCACAGTTAAATCACCCTAGATGCGTAGGCCTAAAGGGGCTTGATCCATTCAGTCATTTTGGTTGCCCGTTTTTGCACCTTTCCTAACTCTGATACCCTTTTTGAGATGGGGTGAGCCGAACGGTACACAATGTGGCTACTTCTAATCAGTGAATGGGTCATGGGCTTATCCATGACAGTCATGACAAGTGTGCATACATCTCTACTTTAAATTTTTAAAGAGAGGACAGGCCCTGTTCTCTGGTTCCTATCCCTGGGATCATCGTCCCTGTTCAGGGGAATGTTTCTAAAAGTGTCTACATGCATGCAGGTGCCTCCGTCACTCTTCCACGCCGTAAGCCACCTCTCAGGTAGTAAATGTTGCCCAGGGCATCTGTTGCAGCTGTTTGTAATCAGGAAAGCCATATTAGCCATTTAAAGTCTACTTCTAACCCGACCGCTCAGCAGTTTCATGGAGTGCCCACGCGTTCTTGTATTGTGAGAAAGGGAGAAAAGTACCTCTTTCTCTACCTGCTCTTTCCCATGCATAATCTTATAAACCTCGATCATGTCACCCCTCAGTCATCGTTTCTCCAAGCTAAAAAGCCCTAAGCACTTTAACCTTTCCTCATAGGGAAAGTGTTCCAACCCTTTTACCATTCGAGTTGCCCTTTTCTGCACTTTTTCCAAAGCTATAATATCCTTTTTAAGGTGTGGTGACCAGAACTGCACACAGTTTTCAAAATGAGGTCGCACCATTTAGACTTCAGCGGAACATCATGTTTTGCATGCACAGTCTCCCAGGTTTGATTCCCAGCATGTCTCCTGTTCCAAGAGAAGCAGGGTTGGGAAGCCCTCTGGCTTACCCATAAGAGCCCCGACTGAATAGACAGCATTGGACTGGGCAGAACAGTGAACAGTCACTATCATGTGACTTTTGAGTTTGTACTTTGGGCTGCATCTTCCCTGCTTCTCGTACAACTCAGTGAGGTCACTGAAAAAGCTGGTGCTGGGAATGATGGAATCCTCGTTGTTAGAACGCCCCAGGGCGGCAGCCACAGTGAGGAGAGGGGAACTGGGCAACACATCCCCTCCTTGCTCTTCCTCTGGTGGAGCGTCTGAGGGGAGGGGCAACCAGTTCCCTTTGTTCTTGGCATTTTGTCCACAAGACTTCCAGGGGTCCCAGCATCCTTCTTTGAAGGGTCTCAGGGGCTCTTGGGGATACAGCAGGAAATATCCAACTTCCACTCCATATTTATAGGCTACAGGACATTGTCTTGTCATTATCTTTGCAACAATCCTGTATGGTAGCTTCTTATATCCCCATACTCTGGACAGAGAGGTTGAGAGAGTGGCTTTCCCTGGGCAGAACAGTGGATTCATGGGGTTCGCCAAACAGGCTGTTGCCTGGGGTGCCAACGCCCAATACTGTACACAGCCAGTGAGATTCCAGGAGCAGACAAACTTTATGGCACTAAACGGGACCTTGGCAGCAAAGCCCAAGGAATCTGTTAATAAGGCATCCACTTTAACCTTTTATACAGAGTAACAAACAACATTTTGACATGCGTAGATGTTTATAGATTACAAAACTTAAATTTTCTCTATATCTATATATTTGCCAAGCATGCATTTCTTTTTGCCCCTTCTTGGAATGCGCCTCTATCTTCTGAGCTTTGCAAAACAGCTTGTTTTATTTCTAAAGACCATCCCTTTGCTTAATAAGCTATGTCCTGGAACATCTTGCTCACTTTACAACATCTTGTTTTGCTTGTTAACTGCATTTTAGCTGGCCGAAGAATTTTAGCTGGCCTGAACGGCACAAAGCAATATAAAAATGGCTTCAGTCTTGCCTATCAGTGGCAGAGGCAGACACTTGAACCAGGGCTATGTGGATTTGCTCAGTCTCTCAGCTGGTCCGTAGATCGTTCTGGGCAGGAAGGACAAAGTTTCCCTTGATCGAAGGCAACTTAATGTGTGACTTTTGGGAAAGTGCCATAGCCCAGTGTCAGTCCGCAGTAAAAAAGGTAAAGATTCCCTTGCTCGAAAGCCAGTCGAATCTGACTCTAGGGTTGCGGTGCTCATCTCCGTTTCAAAGCCGAAGAGCCAGCGCTGTCCAAGGATGTTTCCATGGTCATGTGGCTGGCATGACTAAACACCAAGGCGCACAGAACGCTATTACCTTCCCACTGAAGTGTTACCTATTTATCTACTTGCAATTTCTTGCTTTCGAACTGCTAGGTTGGCAGGAGCTGGAACTAGAGACGGGAGCTCACTCCGTCATGCGGCACCCCTGGGTCTCAAACTGCTGAACTACTGACCTTCCACAGCCTGCAGTTCAGCGTCTTAACCACTTGAGCCACCGCAGTCCCCAGTAGCTCCCTTTAAAAGATCTCAGAGAGCAGGAGCGACATCTCCCTCTGCTGGAGATGCTAGGGAGCCACTACCCATTGGAATAAGACAGCAATCAAGTGAGACGTGCAGACAGTATGGTGCAATCGTAGCAGCCTCGCGTGGTCCACTTCTCCTGTTGCAGGGCGCAAAAACACAGCACAGCTTTAAAGATTCTGCCTGTGATACTAGACAGGTTTACTCTGCTTTGGGATTTGGGGATGCCCTCTTGCTGCATATTTATCCCACGTTAGTGGCCACAGTCTAATGTCT